TCATGTTCCAGACTTCGGCCCGATCACGAAACGATTGCACCAGTGCTCAGTCTATGGATTCCGAGGATTAGATCTTCCATGGCCTCTCGTGTCAGGTCTCCCGGAGCACCAGCAAAGTCTGAATCAACCGAACGTAAATAGCCGTTCAAGCTGAAATTGCTTCTGAATTGGAATTCATTTTTCTATTTTTAGTTTTCTTGTTTTTCAAGAACCTTCCCACCTTACGAACTGGAACTGGATGAATCCACTGGGCCCCATCTTTCGCACCTCGTCCGGGCGCCTCTCAGCCGCCGTTTCGGACGCAACTGGGCGAAGCAGGTCGGACGGGGACTTTTGAACGCCACACTGGTGCAGAAGTTGGCTGAACACCACCAGCTGAAGCTTCGTGTGGTGGGGAAACCCAGGGTTTGCGGTGCCTTTCTTTTTCGATTTGTTTTTTTTCACTGCCTCCTGCCTTTTTTGGGGGAAAGGCTTGAACAGGTGCAAGACATGGAAGCGGCTTATTATAGGTACATGACTGCAGTAATAGGCAATTCAAGGAGCCTGAGCCATCTTGCACTGAATCTATATCCACATGTTTGACAACTCGCGGGTGAGTGTTCGGATGAGCAAGGTTTCCAAGATGGGGCAATAATGAGCAATACATTCAGAATGAACAGTGAACAAGTCCCTTGTTCTTCATGGATACAAGCCAGGTCTCCATGGCCCTTGTTCTTCAGACAACATGTTTTGTCGCAATTGATCGGGGCTATGTCAGATCGGGATATCGACGTGATCGCTGGACTCACACATCATTCCGGTGTCATGTGCCACAGATCCACGTAGACCTGAAAGGATGTGAAAAGGATTTTGACTGCTGAAGAACAGATCTGCTCTCACACAGTCCAGTCGAGTCCTGCCTCTTACAGTCGAGTCTGAAGAAACAGGGCGTACGGTGGAGGAGGTGGAGAAGGTGAGACGCACATAATAAAGAAGAGGGCGTACGGCAAACACGTTGGATTCGTGGATTGTCAAGTCGTCGCTGGGTTCGGATCTCGGAACTTAAGTGAGCGACACCGATAATTTGCATGTTTGTTGGATCTGATTGTCGACATTGTTTAATATAATACGTATAACATATCGTCTGTTTGTGCAAACAAAGCATGCAATGACCTTTGGGTAAACTAAAGACACATGCATCTCATCGAGTAGTGTGGTGTTCGGTTTGTTGAATTGTGCAGGTGTTTCCTTGCGGTCTGTGGTCGTTGTGTCCGCTGAAACGATGGTAGATGAACATCCCATGGACACCTGGACGCCACTGGACACAGGCCACACGGATGGGGCAGCTCGTCCCAGGAGACGAGCTTGGCCAGGCTTGCTGGATGGTTTTGGATTTCTGGGGAGAATGTGGGTATGTTGCTGGATGGTTTTGGGAGAGATAGCCTTTGTGGCAAGTTCGAGAAAGCTTTGAATCATTCGAGAATATTGGAGAATTACATAACGTTGTACATCCACATGATCTCATGCTATCTTCTGAAGGTCCATGGAGTCCGAATGAAAAGGTAGGTGCACCTGGTCTACGGCGACCTCCAGCTGGTGCGGAACAACACTCCATCCATGTCCGAAACGGTTGCATGGTTCCATCAGAGTCACGACCCTTCACAGAACGGTCACAGAACGGTCATTCCAAAGGACGTGTGGATGGTCGTGTCCCGTGATCCGAGTCGCTTTCGAAGCGTTGCAGAACGGCCTTCAGCAGGAGATGCAGAACGGCCTTCAGCAGGGGAATCCATTTCCGCATGTGGGAACCGCCGCAGAGCCGATGCCTGTAGAGGTGGTAAGGATGTGCTCCACGTCGCTCTGCTTGGCACGCGCCATGTTCCAGCGAAAATGCGCAGCACCAGACATGCGCAGAACTCATGTGTGAAATGGTGAGAGAGGGGCGATGGAAGCGGGGGTCCTCAGGGTCCTCATCGTGTATGCCCAAATGAAGGACCTCATTTCACTGGGTCCATGGAAAAACCGAACGAGGTCAGTCAGACCAGGTTTTTGCGACTGGTCCACCTTGGTCCAATGGACTGGTGGGGGTATGTCTGAAGTACTATGAAACGCTCCGGCACTGCTGATCTGACTGAAGGCTCCGCCACTTGCCCGGACATCCTCATTGCCCAGTCTTTCTCCTTGGTGTGGTTTTCGTGCCCAGCAATCATTGTATACAAGTGTTTTCATATGCTTTCGTGCATCGTGCTCTTAGTCTCCCATTCTCTGCAGAGGACAATTATTTGCGACGTCTGACTGACGCTTACCTAGCTTCAACAGCATAAAACAGGTATAAACACCGACAAATGTGTGACGAACGGACGAACGTTGTTGAGGTTTCGTCATCCTCTGTTTCTCGTTACTTTCGATGCAACGAGTGCGCTGTCTCATGGGTCTGACTCATCCGACCGGTGCCGTCCAGTTGCCACGAACGGACACGACACTGGGCACGAGTTAAGCGAATGAGAACTCCACCCGTGCGAACCCCGTGCATGATCGAAAGGGAACGGAACCACTCCACCCTTTTGAAGAACTTGGTGCTTTGAGTCCTCCCCTTGGGCCTGAACAACAAGAAAATACAGATAGGTTCGCCGACTCCACTGGTTTGAAAGAGGTAGAGAGATAGCAGCCTTTTTGGGTAATTATGCCACAAAAGTTCCTAGCCACAAAACTGTTTAGAATTGTTCTCCATGGAATTCCCTAGCCCCTTAGTAATCTGATTTTAGTATACAGTATACGCAAGTCAAAGCAATGTCATGTTTCAGTGAGCCTCTAATGCTGTCGCGTTTGTGGCCCTGTCTCTTTGGGGGTCTCAAGCGTTTGTGTCACCCGCCAGGTTCCACAGAAGAGGCCTGCAGGCCAGCCCGTGTGCGACGAGAGGCTCCTCACAGGAGCCCAAGCAGGAGTTCCCAAGAAGACACGTTGTAATTATGTTATGTATCGATATATATATATATACAATTATATACATATGATATATACACATCATTCCGGAAGTGAGTGGATTATGGTCACGGCCGGGCCGCTCTTGCGCAGAGGTGTTTGTTTTTGGAGCTACCGCTGCACCAGGTAGAAAGCCTCGACGATTCGTAGCACGGGCGGACACTTGCTATGCGTCCAGAAGCAGGTTAAACCAAACGCAATATAATGTAATCTGTAATACAGTATTATAAATATGTTTTATCAAAACCACAGAAAGTGTACATCCTTAGATAAGGATGTTTGTGTTGTACACGAGGGTTGAGAGGTTTTGTTGTTTGCATCACCCACACATATAATTGTCCAAGCAGCAGTCGTGAGCGAAGCTTGAAAGCTTTGATCTCACGGATTGTTGTGCCAACTGGGAGAACCTGAAATTGAAAAGAATTTTTCTTCCATGTGCCACGAATTCGAATCCAGGATACTCAAAGTTCAATCTGGCTTCTAGAAGGGCTCAGGAATTATGAATCAAAAGTCATTGTTACACTAAGGGTACATGTTGACAAGACCCACACTCGCTTCACTCAAACCTGCAGGTGACGCTCTACAGGAGGCGACGCAGGGTTGGGCGAGCCTATCCATGTCAGACTGTTGTTGAAGACAGATGAAGTAGATAGTTTCACCGGGGTGTTTATTAGACCCTAAGTGAACGGATATGTAATGGACACCTGCAGCACACTTGGCTTTCGGCTCAAGCAACCAAGGGGAAGGACAGGTTACATCCTACCACGCGCCTCGAACTTTACAGGGCCGACAGGGCCGATCGTCGTTTTGATGGGCTTGGTTTGTTTCAAGAATGGGGAGGCACCAGGGAGGCAGGAAAGGACCAATTGGAGGCACCAGGGAAGCACCAGAAAGCAAAGTGGAAGCTGACCTTCCTGCTTTGGTCCTTCGTGGTTTGCTCAGCGGGTACCCTCCTTGCAACATGACACACATGGACGTGGAGAGTCCCGCGTGTGTAGAGGAGAATGGTCTTTCCAGGGGGCCAGGACGTCCACTTCCATGTTTATATACAGGGTATAGACTATAGACTATAGATGATCTTACTTTGATTGCGAGTGGCCCCCTCCCCAGTCAGACAGCAAACAAACCAGAGTGCCCAACGCTGCACAACCGGAGCGATGTTGAAGTCCGTTGACACTGCACATGTTCAACCTACACGGAACATCCCTCGGGGCCTTCCTTATTTTCTATCCCTGGTGAATCTTGAGGGGGAAGGTGAAAGACATGACTGCTGCATAGTGCTATATACACCCCTGACATGCAAGTGTTTGGACTCTGTCTCAGTACCTCAAGTTATGGTGCGGCAAATGCATCATGTGTTGGAAAACCCTACTGTTTGGCATCCAGGGACCATGGGCTTTCCAGGGACCATGCCCATCCACTTCCAGGTGCTGTTTGATAGGGGTGCACCAATTTCAACACCTCTACACTTTGTGTCAGAACTTTAAGCAATCTATCGCTGGTAGTCTTGGGGATATTTGATTAACAATAAACTGATCCACACCATCAACAGGCCCTAATTACAGTACTACCTTTTTACTTGGGGATGTTTTGAGTGACGAAGCTGGCATTGGATCCATGCCACTGATTGTTTTCCATTCTGTGCCGGATGGTCGCACAACTTGGAGTCCTTTTTTTCCTGGATGCTAGTGCTCGCTTGCCCTTCGCTTCGAGAGCCTTGACTTTGTAGCTCAGGATCCAGCGTCATGTCGAAGGCCGGGTTGGCCGGTTGATTGTTTGTTTGTTGTGCTTCTTTGACCGCAGGCTATGGCCAAAACTTGTCCAACATCCAAACAGACAGAGAAAGAGAGAGAGGGGTGTAGACGCGCATCACTTGCTGCGCCTTGGGTTTAAGGCGGCGATACATGTTTGAGGTCCAAAGACATGACGTAAATCCGATTTTGAAATTCCTTTCGGATCCAAGCATGATCTTCCTAAATGTCTCAAGGAAGGAAGACACCCTCCTAGGAATATGGTAATTCATGCACTAGGAGGGACAGCGCTACTTAAGCCTGTCCCACTTGCGGCGGCCTGCGGCGGTGCAAGAGCATGAGCTCATCATGATCATGCAAAGGGCAGAATATTGAATTGTCAAAGTGGTAGAATCAAAAATCACTGTGACCCACCCCGGCACCCCACCCCAACATTGGGGTTAGTGCTTAAGCCTTTTGATAGAAGGATCATTTGAAAGGGACCGCCAAGGGCTGGGGGTGTGTGGCTGACTCACTCAAAACGGCCAGACGGGCTCTGGCGCAGACCTGCGGAAATTCATGGAGAAACGCTTGGTGGGAACCTGAGTGGTGTGGGAGTCTTCGCATTCGATCCACGAGGATGTGTCTATGGCCGTGGGTCAGAGTCGCCAAACAAGGCCCTTCTTGTGTAAAGGAAGAATCAGGACCAAATGCTTTTCCATGTTCTGTCGTATTTTGGTGGGGCCATATGCATATTCAGAACAGGGAGGTGTCTCTCCTGTTTGGTACGTGTATGATACTTAGTGATTATGGTATTTCTAATCTATTTGTCCATTCATTTTGGGGGGCCAACCTGGGAATCTCGCTCCTCAAGTGGAAGTTAGCAGATCTTGTTGCCTCGGAGGCAGCGCGTCAGTTCTCCAGCCGTCAGTTCTCTGGGCTTCACCGTCGTTGGATCTACTCGGCACCCGAGTGACGGCCACCGGCACACAGCAGGATCAGTGAAACGCGACCACCCGACACACCCGACATGGCTTATATGGTGAAACATATCACACACCTGCACTAAACACTGACACATGATTCATGCACACTTTGTGCTGGTTGTCTAGAAAGCACACTTCCAAAACAGGGATATGATATACATATATATATATACATGCGGCAGAGTGTTTTTTCTTTTTTGTGATCATTGATTTAATTGCCAACCCTGTCAAATGCTGAACAAAAGTAACGACAGTTGGGTGTGTACTCTGATAGGGAGAAGCCCCCAACCAACGGGTCGGGCTACCTAGCCGCCCGATACTACCAAACGCGGGCAGAACCATGTCCATTCTCTCTCATTTTCAACTCGATCAGAAACATGATCCTCCATTCTCGACAGATCATCCATTGCGTCTCGATGATACCACTCCCATAGTGTTTTATCCCAATTGCCGGAAACATAATCAACGGCGTAGCCTGAAAGATCGCGCTTACAAATGCATTCGCAAGCCAGGTGGTTTGGATGACAAATTAGGTGCCTCGTCATATGCTTCATTTCAGACTTGAATGCCAGCACACAAGCTAGTGGCCATTGAGCAATACTTCATATGCAACTCGCATACACACGTGGACACACTTTGCACCCTGCACAGTACATTTCATACAGTCATTTAGATTAGAAAGTAAACACTTTCAACTCCCCCAGTACCCACCGTAATACATGGTAAGGGGCCGGTCGAGGGAGACGCTCGTTCAGACGGTCGGCAAGTCGTGCCACCCCAACCAACAGGTTTGGGTCTAGTTTTCTTCTTCCAGGGGGATCTTTGGAGGGTCTCCCTGTTTTTAGACTCATCCATTTAGTAAAGCCTTTTCCTTTCTAAGGACCTCAAGCTCACCGCCAATCGGCATGTGGTGGGGGTGCTGCGAGGCAGGGTTGAATCCGAAGTGTTGCACTGGCCAACAAGGGTGGGTCTGTTTCTGGTTGCCCAAAAAGACACAACCTTAAAGATGTACCGGAGATTCTGGAGGGCAGTAGCTTGGAGGGCAAAAGCCTGCAGCTCGCACTTTTGGTGTGCGAATCCTGGAGTTCATTTTCTGGCATAACCCATTCGACTTGATATAGGTACTCCCGTTGACGTAGTTCAAGTCCTGGGTATTGCACAACAGGTCGGAAATCAGCTCCAACATTTGTTCGAGCCCACTTTAGCTGCTGCATTTGGTGCCTGAGTGAATACCACTGAAAGTACAAACATATACTTTACAAACCTCCACATACCGGCCACAGGCAACGGGTGTGTTTTGGGGCAGATCGTTCTTCGCTGTTTGACTCTGAAGCCCACGCGGATCCGCTCCAAGATCTTGTAGAGACAATAGAGCTAAAGTCCTTGGGATCCACTTGGATAGGTATATCATCAATCGTATATCCCATCGATTTGTATCCAAAGACATTCAAAGACACCAAAGCAAAAAAATTGGCTACTTCAACCAGGCAAACTGGTGGCGTGACTGCGGAAGATACTGCTGTGGTGGTCGAACCAATCTTGCTTATTGCTTTCAGCGCACGCCTACGTTTTGCAGCGAAGAGCCGTGTGCCAATGATATATGGGACAACCAACAACATCACCTTTTCATACCTTTTTCCATATAATGCATATAGTTTTTTGTTGATCTGAATCACTCTTGTTGATGCATCAATGACAAGATGTTGCGTCGGCAACCAACCAAAAAGAGATACTCCAGAACGATCCAGAACGTCATTATTTTTCCCGAATGCGTAGCGAAGGGTTCCCGTTTATAGTTGGGGGTCTGGGGGTTGGAGCTGTGTTCGCGTGGCTTGCGTCCTCTCGTCGTTTGTCGTCGTCTCTCGTCGTCTCTCGTCGTCGTCGCGTCTCAAATTCACTGCCATTGGGGGAAGCTTTTGAAGGTGACTTTGCATGGATGTGTCACGTGTCAGTTTGCGCCGCTATTCCATTTTGATTTGCATGACAATGACATGTCGCGCAAGAAACGTGATGCATTTTGCTGCACAGGCGCAGCGTTTTGTGAGATCCGCAGATTGCTGCGCAGTTCCATTGGGATTAGCGTTTGGAGAGTCGTGTTTTTGGGGTGTTGGATGTGGCCGTGCCATTGGGATTTGCGTTTCAGGGTGTGGCATGGAAGCTCGGTTTTCGTGACAAGTCTCAGCTGAAATGGCGATTTTGGTGGATGGGAGTGTGCTCAGAACGGGTCGAAATCATTCCAAACGTGTGGTGTGGTGCAAATTTTGTTGAAGCTCACATGAGATGATATTGTCACTTTTCGTGGCAGGCGCAGGACTTCGTGCGGGCTTTGCGGAGTGGAAGTGCGATTCTCGTGGCAGGCGCAGGGAATCGTGAGGTTGCGAGGTGTGACGGAGGTGACATTTCGTGGCAGGCGCAGTACTTTGTGCGCGTTAAACGTGTGGACGCGGCAAGATTCGTGGCAGGTGCAGGGAATTGTGAGGTTGTGAGTTGTGGTAGAGGTGAATGTCGCTGTCACATTGGGATTGGCGTGTGAGCGGATGTTGTTTGGAGGGGCTGGAATCGCGAAACTGCTTGGCAGGCCTGCGTGATGTGTGTGCTCCGATGGGGGGTTCCGCTTGACTTTTGGAGGAAGTCTCGTACGAAACGCTCGTTTTGCAGACTTTGACGTGTGAGTTTTTGAGGAAGTCTCGTACGAAACGCTCGTTTTGGAGACTTGACGTGTGACTTTTTGAGGAAGTCTCGTACGAAACGCTCGTTTTGGAGACTTGACGTGTGAGTTTTTGACGAAGTCTCGTACGAAACGCTCGTTTTGGAGACTTGACGTGTGACTTTTGGAGGAAGTCTCATACGAAATGCTCGTTTTTGAGACTTGA